TTCGAAATCTTAGATACAAACCTTGTTTTAATGTTTCCTGTACTTTTCTAATGGGTGCCAGTCATAAAATATTTCAGTAAGACTAGTTTTCCTTTTCATTGCTTCACCTTTCATGTGGCTGGTCTTTGTAATGTATAGTTACTCCATCTGGGTTGATACAGTGCAGGTTGGCTGAAACAATCTTCATATGCTCTTGACATTTTATCACTAAGTGCAGAAATTTAATGGTTCACTAAGATAATATAGTAAAAATTACTAATGTTGCAATAACAATATATGGGCCAAGCATGGCCTAGTAGTTAGCCTGTTGGGCTGGAGACCAAAAGATCTGGGTGTTTGAGATGTGATTTTGCCATTTACATGCACTTTCAGCTGTGAGCATTTTATAAAAATGACATTCAATTCCAATAAAAGTATGTAAAATAAAATAATTCAGTAATATATTAAATTATATGTTGTAATTAATATTCATGTAGAAATGCTTTATGCGGTATTGTCACTAAAACACTTAGGCTTCTGAGTATACTGGAATATATTTAAAATGTTTTCTTTTGGAGCTCATAGCTACTTTGCTACCTTTCACATCAGGTGTGTATATCTGCTTGGCTAACTTTCACATCAGTCATGTTTTCTCCTGAATTTTATAGCTACTTGGTTAGTTTTCACATCAGATATGTTTTCTCCTGCAGCTCATAGCTGCTTGTTAGCTTTTCGATCAGACATGTTTTCTTCTGCAGCTTATAGTTGTTTGGCTAGCTTTTGCATCAGACATTTTTTTTTTTTTGCAGATCATAGCTACTTGGCTAGCTTTCACATCAGATATGTTTTCTCCTGAAGGTTTGGTTAGCTTTTGCTAGAACATGCTTTTTCCTGCAGGTCATTGCTTCTTGACTAGCTTTTGCACCAGATATGTTTTGTCTTGCAGCTCGGCTAGCCTTCATATCAGTATTTTTCTTCTTGCAGCTCGTGGCTGCTTGATTATTTTTCGCATCAGACATGTTTTCTTCTACAGCTTTGGCTGGCTTTTGCATCATACGTGCTTTTTCTCTTGCAGCTCATGGCTGCTTGACTAGCTTTTGCATCAGACATTTTTTTCTCTTGCAGCTCATGGCTGCTTGACTAGCTTTTGCATCAGACATGTTTTCTTTTGCAGCTCCCAGCTGCTTGGCTAGCTTTAACATAGGACATGTTTTCTCCTGCTTGGCTAGTTTTCAGATTGAACACCCTTGATACAAACCAATATAGAACTAGGCAATTAATTGATATGACTGATTACCCATGAGCATCAATTAGTTTAAGGTAAAATAATTGGTTAATCCAAATTACATTTGCATAGATTAATGTCACGAAAATAATCAACTAATCAAAATTAATATTTCTGATTATTACTATTTTTGATTATTCCAACTTCCCAAGTCTCATGTGAGAATAATCAATTTCGATTATTTGAATTTAATTGATTAATGTGCCTGATAATTGATCAATTAGCAAATGTCACTAATCTCCCAGCTCTGAAAACTATATAACCTGCTTATTTTAATGACTGCTCTTGGCAATCCTAAAAAAAATGTTGTCGGAAGCCTCTCAGTGATCCCCACATCAATTTGATGATGATTCGGGACCTTTGCTGAAATTTATCTTGTCATGATTGTCAGCTTCTACTCTTTCTTTGGTTTTCTGGCTGGTATGTTGTTGGGGCTTTTTGGGTAGAGATGTCTTGTTGGAGGGCATTCGTCTACTGGCTACTGCCCTCCATGAGTTACGTGAGAGTCCCTTTCTTTGTTCCTTGATGTTTGCAGGTGTTCCAGAGGTGTTAGAATCACAGATTGGTGTTGCCCATTTGCATTCATCCTTTTTGTCGTTGACCACTCGACTTTCTTTGGCTCCTCCGGAGAGTCAAGCTGCTACTGCTCGTCGTGTGTCCCGGCTCATGGCTTCAGCTCCTTGATCTGTTGATACCCAGAATAGATTCTGTCCTTATCAAAGAGGTTCCTCCGCTCGGTCAGACAGTCGCCAGTGGATTTGGTGACTACCCTATGATAGTGGGGGTGTGGTTACATTTTCTGGACATATGGAATTCCTTTACCATAGATCCATGAGTACTCCAGGTTTTTGCATCGGGGCTGGTCATTCAGTTCACATCTTCACCACCATTATACCCCCAACCTGTAGTATTTCCATTACCAACAGATCCTAAGAATGTGTACCTTCGTTCCAAGGCTATCAGAGAGTTGTTGGTCAAGGGGCAGTAGAGAGAGTCGATCCAGTTCGTCCAGTATCTTATTTCTGTCTATTTGTTGTGCTGAAGAAAATGGGAGATTAGCATCTGATCATCGATCTTTCCCATCTCAACCAATTCTTAGATCCTTCCAGGTTCATGATGGAGTCATTTTTCACTAGGTCTGTGGATGTTGCTGATGCCTATTTTTACAGCAGAGTAGTCCCACTGCTATCTATGTTTCGTGCACAAGGCTCAGTTTGTGCATTTAAGGGTTCTGCTCTTTGGACTAGCATCTGCACCATGTGTGTTCTGCAGAATCATATTGGCTTTCTCTTGTCACTTACATTCTTTGGCTCCATGCTGTGGAACAGCCAGTCAGACTCTTATTGACATCTCCTTCTCCCACTGCAAGGATGGTTCTTTGTCTTTTGGGGATGTGGACATCCCTCGAATCTCTAATTCCTTTGGGACGAGTACATGTGCGATCCCTTCAGTGGTCACTGCACGACCAATGGATTATGAACAGTGATTCACTGTTCCATCCAGTCTCCTTACTTGAAATCAACATCTTACATCTCAAGTGGTGGTTAGATAAAAAACACTACTACAATAAATGTTCCTCTACCATCCACAGATGCCTTACTTCAGAAATGGGGTACGTATATCAATGGTCGGGAATTCCAGGGTGTGTGGACGAACAACGAATCTTCCTTCCACATCAATATTTTAAAGCTTCTTGCTGTTAAAAGGGTAATGTCTCAAGGTCTAGATCTATTGAAGGGAAATATCTTCATGCTTCTCTCTGACATTTCTACTGTGGTATCTTACATTTCCCATCAAAGGGGTACTTGTTCTCAGGATCTTTGTTTTCAAACTTTGGATATTCTCTACTGGGCTCACACCCATCATATCAGCCTCCTCACTTGCCATGTTCTGTGGTGAAGAATTTGATAGCAGTTCATCTATCTTGAACGAATGGATGCTACATCATGAGGTTTTCTGGTAAATTTGCTTTCGATTTAGGACACTGATGAATGATGCATATGATACTTATTAGAAATCTCAACTACAGGCATTTTGGTCCACTGTACCTCATCCTTGGCCATTGGCGATAGATGCATTCAGTCAGGACTGGACAGGATTACACATCTATACAGATTATTCTGGCTATGGTTCAACCCACCCCTTGTTGAATACCATTGGTAGCCCCGATTGTGGCTGGCCCAATCATGGTTTCCTCTTCTTCAGTGTCTTCAAGAGTGCTCACCTCTGCCACTTTCTCTATGGCCACCTCAATCAGATATACACCCAGACATTTTGAAGCTCAGGCTTTGTTGGTGGAAGTTATGTAGTCCTTTGTACAGCATCGGGGTTTAACTTCTAAAGTTGCCTTGAACTTGCCTCATTTTCTCCGTAAACCCACAATGGACATATATTAAAGGAAATGGCACACTTAACAACAGTGGTGTCTTTTGAGGAAATTGAACCCACTTCATCCAAATATGCCAGCCAATCTTGGTTTTTGGACCTGGCTGTTTGACAAAGGTTAAGCACCATCTACTGTTGCCTTATATAAGACAGCTTTATTGACTACATTTGGATACTCTAAACATTGGAAATTATTTGAATCCCCATTGCGATCTGGCCTTCTCAAATCGTTTCGCATCCTTTGTCCCAAAAGGTCTTTCCAGTTACATAAATGGGATATTAAGATGGTATTACAAGCTTTTTCTCGACATCCATTTGAGCCATAAGCCTCATATAACATGTATCATCTATCCCTTAAAGTATACTTTTTGTTGTTACTGGCCTGTGGATGTTGTTGGTCAGAGTTGTTTGCACTGTATGTGCACAGGATTCCATTACTCTACTTATGTCCTCCTATACCTAGATAGGTCCTTCTTACCTAAGATACTGGCAGCCACGGAAACGGATAAATCCTTCTCACCAATTCATTTGTCAGCTATTTCTCACCTCTATGACTGCTTGGACCCTGATCGTTTGTTATGTCCAGTCAGAGCCCTGAGATGTTAAGTGGCTTACACTAACTCCTTTTCAGGTGATAGACATCGACTTTTTATTCATTGAGATCCTTCAGTTTCCCGTAATTTATCCTCAATTACATTGACCATGGGTTTGCAAATTGATCCATATTGCTCATTCTGGGCTGTCTTTGCAGGTGAGGAAACTTTTGCGAGTCACGTCTCATCAGATTTGTCACATTTCTATGTCTTTAACTGCCCAATTGAATTGCCTGCTAGAGGACATTATGCGGGCTGTTGTGTGGATTTCTCCCAATATTTTTATCTCGCATTATTTACACAATCTGGCAGTTTCTTCCTGTGAGGGTTTTTGCCTACCACCTTTGGCCATTTTGACTACATCTGCCAGATTATAAGGAAGGATGAGTATATTTGTTACAACTCTTGTCTCTTTACTTTACAGGGTCACTTACTTCTTTTTTTCACTGGATCCAGTACTGTGGCAAGTGTTGCCCATGCAGGTGTGCTTTTATCAAATCAATTTTGTGCTAGCTACCACTATTTCAATATACTTTATACAGGTTGCAACAGGCTCTGTAGAAATGAGGTGTTCCATAAGGTGACCAGGTGATATTACTGTACTATGCTGGACTGCCACTCATGGACTATGATGAGTAAAGCATAAGGGGATACTGCCCATCTATGCTGATCATCTGGTTGAATAAATGGAGGTCAGTTTGCTTTTAAAAACTTAGGGAACTTGATTCACCTATTGCACTGTTTGTCATGACTCCCAATGGGTGAAACTGTACATAAGTGATTATCACTATAGGTTATCTGTTTGGGGCTGGCCTATATTTATGATCACTCATGTACAGTTTCACCCTTGATACAGGAATTAAGTTCAGGGTGAAGAGCATACCTGTTCTGAATGTAGTGCAGTTCCCCTACTAGGGTGCCAGTCTTCTGTGACACACCCATGACCTATGCAGACACTTTCTGTATGGATAATACCCTCACGAGCCCCTCCACCTTCTCAATGTGGGATACTAGCTATAAGTGGGAGTGGAGGTATGTATGTTTTGGAAGTTAACATTTTCCTAAATTGAAAATGTATTTTCAATAATACTTACCTCTGGTGACACTCTCCTACCTTTTCTCCACACTAAAGATTAGGTGTTAGAGATTGGAATTGAGTTAGTCTCAAAAAAGTGATAACATTATCTGAATGAGGTGCTTATATACAGTACCAGGATAGAGGGCATATTGACTTAGGTGGAGAGTATCATGAAATAAATATTGCCAATGGAAATTGAGTGGGGTATAAAAGATTGGAGCAAGTAAGAAAAAATCAGACTAATGCTTAGATGGGCAGAGGAAGAAACCCTAGTGGTCAAGAAATAGTTATAAGTGTGAGGGTAGGTAGGTATTATTGGAAATACATTTTCAATTTAAGAAAATGTTAACTTTTTTTTATTTTTATGTGTGCTTTATTGATAGTGTTTAGTTTCTAAACTGTTATCTTCATTTTAAATACAGTATTTAACACAAAAATCACTGCTCTCCAAAATAGTCAAAATTGTGACACATAGATTAGTTTTGTACTTGGTAAGATAGAGAGAATTTTGTACTGCTTTATGTTTTGCAAACAAAAGTTTTCCAATATAGTTAAGATTGTGTGACTAGTTTATATGTGAATACAAAACTAAATTTGATTTTCAACAGTTGTGTCAGATAAGAAAAACAGGTCAGGCATTTGGTGAATTCACAGAAGAAACTCCCACATTTCCACCTACTTACCGGTTCATCATTGATAGTGAGGAATATGATTACTTGTGAGTATTTATCTTCTAGATAAGCTCATATTGTATTAAAGTAAAAACAACTTAAGCTCCAGTTAAATCTGGGAGTAGTCAATACTTAAATAATTGATTTATCACAATTACAATTAAATCAATTAATGTAATGAAAATCACCAACTAATCAAAATTAAGAGTTATTGTTTTCAATAATCCCAGCTCTCTAAGTAATCAAATATAGCTATTATGATTTCTCATTATTATTTTTCAGTAATTAAAGGCTGTTCAGCTTTCCCGGTTAGTGTCACAACTCTCAAGAATAATAAACTAATTGAAATTACTGATTATTACTAGTTTTGATTAATTGAACTATCCAAGTCTCATGTAAGAATCAGTTAGTTGAATGTAATCAATTTATAAGCCCAACATTAATTAGATTGTCATGAAAATTCCAGTTGCCCAGTTCTAATTACTAAGTATATATATATTTTTATTTCTTATCAATGTTAGTATAGCTTTATTTTATAAGAAGTTAATATTAATCAGTGTGCTTTGAGTGTTTGGAAGATGTGATGTATGTTGCAGATGGAAAACAGTATTGCATAGTTTTGTTACTCAATCATTGTACATGCCATCTAGATTACTCAAGATGGATTTTTCTAACTACTAGATATAAATGTAATTGATTGTAACTTCAGCATTTCAATAGGCTCACATTTATAAAATAAATTTATAATTGTACAGAATTAAACCACTTTCCATCTGTAAGTAGTGCATTATCACAATTTCCAAAACCTCAAATTAAACCAATATTGAAAGAAAAACAACTTTTTCATTTTCAACCATCCTGGTTATTTTCTTCTCTTCTTTGTTCATATGTTTCCAATTTTTTAATGATTGTATGAACAGTAATCACATACAGAACTGTGCAAATACATTTAAGATGAAACTTTCAAGAGTAGAAAAGCAGATGGTATTGAAAGTTGTCCCTGAAACTTGTAAAATACTGGGGAAATATTGATGGGAGGGAAGGGGGCAATAGGAAGACTGATTGGTTTAAAATTTGTGGAAGGTGGGAGGGGTAATAGCATAGTATACAGATAAAAAGGAACTATTTGGTTCTTCAAGGCTGTTCTTACATACCCACCATTGAGAAAATTAAAAATTTAAATCTTCATTTTTCAGGCAGTCCTTGGTTTCCCTTTTAACCTTATATATATATATATATATATATTAGCAGGTCAAAGTGCATGCCATGACCTGGTTTTAAGTATTTTTTATCAATATATATGTCAATAAACTTGGCATCATTATGTAGTTTATAATTCAATATATACTATTATATAAGTATTAATTTCAAAAGGAAATATTTAGTAAATTCTCAATCTTCACTTATGTATCACATGAAACTTCATTGCTCTGAATTGTCCATTTTAAAATTTCTTTTCATTCATATTTTATTTTCTAAGTTTCTGAGAACTTACATACTTTTACATTAGATATCCTTGAGCTAAAGTGAAAATTTATAGCATTTGTTCTTCTTGCTTAATGAGTTATGTGCCATAAACTGAAATCTGCATATCACACCCCTCCTGGCACATGCTATATTTTTAGAATATCGGTAATTCTCTCTAACATTTGCTGTTGGATTATTTGTAATCATTAGAATGATAAAAGTTTAATTTACTGCTCTCCTTACAATCAGTCTTGAGTTATTCTATGTAAATTTCATTACTTGCTATCATTGAGATTGCTTCAAACAGGTAAGGACATTGTTTTGTTTTTATTGCATGTTAATATTTTATGTTCTAAGTGCATGTTTAGAATAAATCAAAATTAAGTACTAACAACACATCTACACACTGGCGTAGCAAGAGGGGGGGGCAGTCGTCCTCAGGTGCAGGTGTGAAGGGGCGCAAAAATTCCTCTGGCCTATAATGCCTATTAATTAATAATTATGCCCTCCCCTAGAATATAGTGCAACTGCCCTACGTTAAGTAAATACGACACAGTGTTATGGTATTTATGTGTATTACACTTGCAGTTTTAACTTTTAAAAGCTGCCCACTGAAATACAGTGAGCCCGAATTGATGTACAGAAGTAAATTACACTATTCCATCATTAATCTGTAGATCAAATACAAGTCCTAGAGTACAACGTACAAGTAAATGTATGTTCAACAAAAAGAAAATACGAAATTGATGTAACATATTAACTGGTGTGCAAGACTGGCAATATATGCAACAGACAAGGCCTAGATCTAGATCTAG